TTAATTTTGTGATAAAATAATGGGGTACGTGATACTTATATTAATAAAAGGATTTTTTTAGTATTAAAAGTTAAAATTTTAAGACAATTTTAATAATCTTTTAAAACTAAAAAATAATTTTAATATAAATTTAAAAATTAAAAAAGCAAAATTACTATTTTAACTACTTTTATTACATAAAATATCAGTCCGACACACCTGATACCAACCTCAATTCCATTCTATTCAGGTTCGACCACGTGGTCCACGTCGTCTCAGGGATCTAACGGTAAATTCAGCAGAAACAAATCCCCCGGATTCGGTTCGGACTTCGGAGTCAGACTATCCAGGAAGCTCGGATCCCCTGCTTTCCTCCGCAAATCTCACTCCCAGCACTACTCCCTCTGTAGATGCAAAGACCGCCGTCCGTGCCATTGCTTGTCCACGATGCTTACTGTACACCCTTCTACACACTCCGTTAAGATCCCATTCTTGCATTCGCACATCTTTTCAAATCCCACCTTCTTCCTTTCGTTTCCTTAGCCGTTTTTATCTCTCATGTCTGTCTTGTCCGAACTGTTTCCTGCATTTTGGAAGTAGCGATCTTTGCAACCTGTTCGACTATGGAGATTTCAATCTGGGTTTCGGTTCTTTCTGTTCTTCTTTGCTTTTTCGCATCTGGGTCCCTCTCAATTGACGACTTTCATCAAGCGTAAGTCTTCTTTGTTTCTCTTCTCTTTCACTGCTAGTACTGATTTGTGGATTTGGAGTCTTGTTGGATTGGCATACAGCTTGCAACTTTTTTGAAGTTTCTGCTGTGGCATGATTTGTGCATGGCATTTAGATCTCTGTGTCACATTGTGAAATGAATCTTTGCTTTTGCCAACCCATAGAAAATTTCCAAATAGAGTTAGTTTTTCTATTTTAGGTCTTATTTCCAGATTTTGCTGTTGTTCACTCGTTTAGATATTATGTTTGACTCAACTAAGCCTAAGCAACTATGGATAATTTAATTTGGACGTAATTATGTAAAGGGTTACTACAACATCGGCTTGGATTTGAATGACGTCCTGGGAAGAAATTTTTACTTATCATTCTGCTTTTGGGAATCTATTAACCTTGACTGATGAACACTAGGCAGGCTTGCATGTAAATCAGTTGTTCCCCCCTTAGGGATGTGCTGAAAATAAAGATAGAAAACCTTGATTAAACCTTTAGGAAACAAGAATTGATTGTTTAGTCATGATTGACTTAGAGGGAATCTATTAACTTTGAATGATAAAGATTGGGGTTGCATCTAAATCAGTTATTCTCCACTTGGGATGTGCTGAAAAGAAAGACAGAAAACCTTGATTAAATGTTTAAGAAGAATTGACTACTTAGCCAGGATCAACTTAGAGGTCTGGTTATAATATTAAGATTCATTGGAGGTGCTACAGTTCCTTATGAAATTCCCCAAAACTCTTTTTTTTTTTTAATAATATTTCTGTTCTACCAAGACTCATTCTATTTGACTTAAGGTTTTATGTATTTTTTTCAATTGAGGAATGCATGTCATTCTGAGTTATCTTCCAATTGTTTATTGACAATTAACCATGAAGTTAAAAGATTTTTCTTGGGAAAATTGAAGCAACATTATGGGGTAGTGCTATAGTAGTGACTCAAAAGCTGAGAAGTTGTCGAATAGAACCCCTAGCTGAGAAGTTGTTGAATAGAACCCCTAGACCTACTTTAGCTTTAGCTTAGATGAACTTTGAATAAAAATAGTGTTACAATTCTACATCTCTACACATTTTCTTTTGGATGGAGCAGAATTTTTGTTGCTTATACCTTGTGGGATGGAAAACACAAAAAAACTGTTGCTAGGTCCCTAGCTCCATTAAGTAGGAATTAGAGTCATGTAAATATGTAATTGAGTCGCTATATTTCTTGTCAGTGACAAATTCCCCTGTGCACTTTGATAATTTTTAGAGTATATGATCCAGAAATATGAGCTACAAGACTACTCATTCTATGGGAAAGTTTATATGATATGCATTCAGATTAATCTGTGGAACCTTGGTTGGAATCTATTACTAGCCTGAGACAGTGTAGGAGTGTTGGAGCCTTGGTTTGAATTTACTAATAACCTGAGACAATTTAGGAGTGTTCATGTGTGTGCCCTTGTGCAAATATCCTATGCTCTTAGAAAGTCATAGCTTTACTTTATACAATTTTATTTTTCTCTCTGTTCTTTTATTTTATATTTATTTTCTGTTTTACATGTAGGTTTCCTATAGTGGAACCTGATCCAGGTCATACAAAGCTTCGTCTATCAAGTGAAGGCTTGGAAGCCATCAGCAGAATAACAACTCCAATTGCAGCTGTTGCTGTAAGCATGAGCTACTCTTCCTGGCTATCTAGTTATGGAGTTTATAATTTACCTTATTTTGGCAATTGGATTCTGATTATTATTTTAGAATGTATTGTTAATGTGAATTGCAAACTAAAGGCACGTAAGGCCAAATGGATAAGATGAATTCATGAAAAAGTAAGTATATCTGGAGCAGATTTTATTTTTACATTTTTAGGGTAAAAGGTTGATTGTGAACTTCCTCTGGTATCTATGTTGATGGCCAAAACATGAAAAGGAAAAAATGAACTTCCTCTGGTCTATGGGCTTTTAGAGGTCTCCTTCACATTGGTGCTCGCTACACTATTTCATCAGTTTTGATAATTCTTTACTCTTGAAATTGAAATTTCTTCATGTGGTGTATTGTCATGTTTCATAAGTTTCTCTATGATCTCAAGCACACCATTCTGGGTTAGCTTAGCATGAGTAATTGACATCTGTTGCTGTAGCACTTCAATTTTTTATTTGCACTTACGTTTTCCTGTTTCACCTTTTTACAATCTTGATGGTTAATAACCAGGTAATTGGTCCATACCGCTCTGGCAAATCTTTTCTGCTTAATCAGCTCCTTTCCCTTTCTTGTTATGAAGGTGCTTTCTTTACTATCCCCTTAATTATTTAAGAGGACCTGTTGCTACCATCAATTTTCTGCTTGTATAGTTTAAATGGGTTCAACTTGACGACCTTATTGGTTAAACATTTTCACTGTTTCCCAGGATTTGGTGTTGGACACATGCGTGATACAAAAACAAAGGGTGAGACAATGATGGTGCAATTATGTGCAACTGTTGCTCAAATGACCTTTCATTCTGTTTCTTACAGGGATTTGGGTTTGGGGAACCCCACTAGAAATGGACATTGATGGAGTGAAAACTTCTGTTTTTTACCTTGATACGGAGGGGTTTGAAAGTGTTGGGAAGTCAAATGTATACGATGACCGGTAATGTCCAGTTGCACACTTCCTTTTGGTAATTGCAAATTAATAAATAATAATTTATCTCATCTCTTTCGTTGTTCTGATATCTGCTTTTGCAGGATTTTTGCTTTGGCAACTGTTATGAGTTCTGTACTTATTTATAACTTGCCTGAGATGGTTAGTTTCTTTGCCTGCAATGTTGTTACTAAACACTCTTTGTATGGAACTTTGTGAGGTTGGGCAGCCAATAGTACTTGGCTTTGCTGTGCCTTTGAAGCTAAAATCTTGTACGAATACAAAATTATGGATGTTAACATTGAGTACTTCTGCTTATTTTGTTTGTTGATATACATTGTCTGTCATTATCACTTTAGATACGTGAGGCTGACATTTCCAGGCTGTCATTTGCTGTTGAGCTTGCTGAAGAGTTTTATGGAAGGTTTGCTTTCATGCCATATCTGGTTGTATTCTGTTTATTGATCAAGCTCTTTGGGTATTGAATGTTAATCACTGTTTATCTAGTATTCTAACTTGTCTTACCATGTGCTTGACAAATACTTCATGGAGAACAGAGTGAAGGTAATTTGTGAGCCACCATACACTTTATGTTGCTTTTGCTCTTCTGATGAAAGCCGAACACTATGGGGATTATTGAATGACTGGATTTTTTTAGGGGCAAGATGTTGCTTTTGAACCTGCTAAACTTCTGTGGCTTATCCAGCGTGATTTTCTGCGTAAGTTCATAAATTTCTTCCGAGGATGTGATTTTCTATTTGGAGTTTTAGGTGCCTTCTATTTTTTTTTGTAAATTTTACCCATGACCAACATAGGACATCTCATTGAGTTATAATCTCAAAATGACTGCTTATATAGTGTCTACCAAAAGTTATCCCTTTCCAACAACTACACTTGCTGAAACATTTCTGTTATTTTCTTATCAGACTTTTATGCTCTGATGGGTTTGTACTATGACCATTTGTTCTAAGTCTAAATTTTTAGCAAAATGCTATAGAAAAAGGTGGTATGGCCTTATAGGTTTTTGGTTCAGGCAATGTTATAAGCTGGTGCATTTCTTATAGCGGAACCTGTTTTCCTTCTTTAGAATGAGGGAAATAAGGAAATTGACTGGCATTTTTTTGGTCTATGTAGAAGGGAAATCTGTGAAAGAGATGGTGGATGAAGCACTTCAACATGTTCCTAACACTGATGGTTAGCTTTTCCTTTCTTGAATTACTGATAAAAAGACAAGTTCTATTTAGCTGAAGCTTTGTATTGTCAAATAATTTGTATTGTGTGCATGGTGTAACTCCAGGGGACAAAAATATTGATCAAGTAAACCAGATACGGGACTCCTTAGCCATAATGGGTGATAACAGCACAGCCTTTAGCTTACCACAAGTATGGGTTAAATATTTTTTTGGTTACATAAGTATTTCCTTTGTTCTTCTCCATTCTGCCATTCTCTGATTCTGACTTTAAACTTCTTAAACAAAACATCAACACTTCAGTATGTGAAGTATCATCTTATGGACAATGGAGATAACATGATTGGTCTTATAGCTTAATTGTTATTGACTTCTTCAGAGCTACACATGTTAGTAGATTGACTAGATTCATCATGATATGCAAAGGGAGCAACTGAGCAAGCATTGGTGTAATAGTCTAAATCATATCTGATGAACATTTATTGATTATAGGTTCCCTACAATGTTCAGAAGGCAAGACATGGAACTTTTTACAGCTCAATTTTGCAATTCATTAGCTTTATATTGCTTTGCATCATGCTTTATAATTTCTAATTATCTTGTTCTTTAAGATGACTGCATTGGTACTTCATCCATTATGGGTGCAGCCCACTTATCTGGTGTTATGTGGTTGAAATATTAATTCTAAGTTCTATATGGGGGTAGATGACAAGTATGTGGCTTTAGGTTATGATTCATGTAGACCATAAGTTCCTAGCTTCTATGCTTTGCTTTTCCATGTTTGTTGTTTACATTGATCATCACCTTATGTATCTAATTCCCTTTGATCTGAACATGCAGCCTCATCTCATGCGGACGAAGCTTTGTGATATGAAGGATGATGAGCTTGATCCCACATATGTAAAAAAAAGAGAGCAGTTAAAAAAGCTCGTTGCTAGTATTATACGCCCAAAGATTGTGCAGGGCAAGCCTCTAAATGGAAAGGAGTTTGTATCTTTCCTGGAGCAGGTAAATTTATCTATTTGTTAATATTTTTAATCCCTACATGTTGTGGTCAGATAATTTATAGCTATGTAATTGTGGCAATTCTTAAATTAATCGTTGCTAGTAATTTTAATTATTTCGTGTCATTCACAATGAGAACATTTATATTTAATCTCTTAGATACTTGAAGCCTTGAATAAAGGGGAAATCCCATCAACGGGCTCCCTTGTGGAGGTCTTCAATAAAGGTATTCTTGAGCGGTGTTTGAAGCTATACAGTGAGAGGATTGGAAAAATAGGCTTACCCCTTTCAGAGGAGTCCTTGCATGATGCTCATGAAAGATTTCGTGAAGAAGCAATGAAAGCTTTTGATGAACAACATTTTGGCCGTCATCATGCAAAGCAATCTGTCATGAAACTGGATGAAGATATAAAAGAGGTATCAGCTTGGCATTGTAGCAACATTACCTATCTTGTTCCTTTTTTAATAATCCTTCAAGGGAAATGCATAATTTTTAAGCTTAGCATAGAGAATTGGAATTTTTCTCCAGGTGCATAAGAATGTGATTATGGCTAACGAGTATCAATCAGCAAAGCTCTGTGAAGCACTGTATACAATATGTGAGGACAAAATGGACCAGCTTCAAGTTCTGAGACTTCCTTCAATGGCAAAATTCAATGCAGGTTTCCTGCAATGCAACCAAAGTTTTGAGCAGGAATGTGTTGGGCCTTCAAAAGAAAACTATGAGCAACGCATGATGAAGGTAATTTATAGTCCTTGCAGATTTCTTTGATTTTCCATGGCTCCTGCTAACAACTATTTCCCTTCCTTTTCAGTTTAATTAGGAGGTGTCATTACTAAAGTTGACTTTATTTATCGCCATAAAAGATATTTTTTTCTTTTTCTTTTCAATGTAAGTAGTAAGGACATATTCTGCTTCCATTCCTTTATAGTAAGGTGGATTCAATTTCAAGGCAATAATTAAACACAAACATTACAACTTTAAAGGGATAGTCCCTAAAGATAGGGAATTGGTCATTCACCAACATCAATAGCTAACTTATTTTTAAGTGGCCCTACAAGTGCATCGTACTCGTTTTTAGTTGTTATGGATGCTTTGTCTTCTTTTCCAGACAGTGCCTTAATCCTAAATGTGTTTTGATTTGTTGAAAGATGTATTTTTCAATCTGCAATAAACTTTGCAGATGATGGGAAAGTCACGCTCTCTATTTATCAAGGAATACAATCACAGGCTATTCAACTGGTTGGTGGCGTTTTCCCTTGTCATGGTGGTGGTTGGCCGGTTTATTATAAAGTTCATTTTGATTGAGTTGGCAGCGTGGGTGCTTTTTATCTTCTTAGAGACATACACCAGGATGTTTTGGACAGCAGAGTCACTTTATTACAACCCAGTTTGGCATTTCATCGTAGCTACTTGGGAAAGTCTTGTCTACAGTCCCATCCTTGATTTGGACAGGTAACAAGTAACTTCCTACCCTGCATCACAAAAAAACACCTCCCTACAATCTTCCCTAATCCGCTTGTTTATTTTCACAGATGGGCAATTCCCATTGGTTGTCTGCTGTTGATATGGGTACTATACTGGCGATGTTGTGGGAGAAGGAAACACGGGTCACGGTGGCTTCTACCCTTATACAACACTCACAAAAGTGGATCAAACCGGCCAAGATCAGATTAAACGAATGGTGATTGTCTTAAACCCTCCTATATGCTTTTGCTCAACCTCCTAGACGAGCCATCCCTTTTTTTCTAACACATGAAGGCACACCTATCATTCTTTTTTTCTTTCAAAATTGGCCATCCCAATCCCAACTTGTCAAGAGAAAGAATCATTTATTTATAGAATACACCCTAACCACGCCTTTTAATGAACCATTTACGGAAATCATTTGTATCAATGTAGTATGTTGATTATTTCAAGTGCCACTTTAAGTTACTAGGTGATCGGTTTGGATGCCTGTTTCTGGTGCCTACAACCGAAAACATTTTTGACCCATGTAACATGGTACCATTTCAGGGCTTGACTTGAATCGAATCGGTGTCCCCAGGTTCATTGTTATGTGGTTTTTTAATCTTTGATACATCTTATACGTGATAATGTTCAAACTGATACCTTCATCTTAAGGTTCAAGCTCTTATTTATTGAGATATGTCTATTAAAGCATGAAAAGTAGTCTTTATATAAGTGTAATGTGCTTTTCGTATGTATAATATGATAAGATTTAAATTGTACTAAATTATAAAATATAAATTATTAAATAAAAGAAAATAATATAATATCAAGGGTTTTTTTTTAATGTAAAAATAATCATTTTGTAATTCGATAAAGATGGAATTATAAAATAATTTTTTAGACATTTATACCTTATATCAAGCTAGTACGAGTCTCAAAATGAGATGAACTTTTACTATTTTTATATGCCAAAATTTAATTGAATCGAAGTGGTGGTGGATGAAAAACGTTGCCGTTGTACGGCATACTTTTCCCTTCACGTTCATCGTATCAGAACTTGAAAGAAATATATATATATATCAGAAATATAAAAATCAAAACGTTGGTTTATTATTATTATCATTTAATGAATCTTATTTCTTGTAATCAACTTAACAAATTGTTAACAAATTGTTATGATGGACGTCTTAAATGTTAGGATGTGTTGATTTTTCAGGCTATATATATATTTATGATATAGAGCATAGAGCATGGTCCATATTGGCTACACGTCCTTTGAAAACATTAAAATTTTATTGAAACGCAGGACGTTTTGATTTTTCAGATATATATATATATATATATATATATATGAGCATGGTCGATATTGGCAACACGGACCATACGAAAGACTGACTTTGAAAACATTAAAATTTTATTGAAGCCCAATCCAAATTTCATTTTCAGGCCACCATCGCTAGCCCACTAGCAATTTGTAACAGCCCAAGCCCTAAATGAGACTAAGAAACCCCAAACCCTAGTTCACCCCTCGCCCTTTCTTTCTGCATTACTTTATAAGACTCACTTCGTCTACTTGGCGGCTTGGCCTCCGCGCGCCTCCAGCATCAACCTTCTTCTCCGACAAACCATCCTCTGGAGATCTCTTTACAGGTACATTTGCGTCGATATCTGTTTCTTCCATTATATGCTCTCTATGTGGAATGCTGTTCTTTTTCATTCATGAGATTCGAAATCTGTTTAGGACGTTCTGGTTTTTTCTGTTTGTAATTATGGGTGTACAACACTAGCTTGTTAATCGTGTTTGTGATGGTTCTCGTGCTCTGTTGGGTAAATACAGTTTCTGGGTGGTCATTTTCTTCAGTAGTTAGGATCATAATGGATGTCCCCATTCGAAATGTAAATATGAAAGAGATCTTGTTTCTGAATTTTCTCTGTTCCTTCATTTCTGCTTGTGATTTTAGTCTTTTCACAATGAATTGAAGTTTTGGGTATGAATCGAGAACCTGGTTTTTGACTGCTTCTGGGTTTGTTCGTTTATTAGAGATGGGTGAAGAAGTTAAGGCCATAGTTCCTGAGTCGGTGTTGAAGAAGAGAAAGAGAAGTGAGGAATGGGAGCTGGCAAAGAAACAGGAGCTTGAAACTTTGAAGAAGAGGAATGCTGAGAAGAGGAAGCTGATTTTCAATAGAGCCAAGCAATATGCCAAGGAGTATCAGGAGCAGGTACTCATTGTTTTGCTTTGGCTTCCTAATTTGTTAATTCCTTGAGATTCTGGATTTTGAGGTTTTGATGTTTTCTTTTCTTTAGGAAAGGGAGCTTATTCAATTGAAGAGGGAGGCAAAGTTGAAAGGAGGCTTCTATGTTGACCCAGAAGCTAAGCTTCTATTCATCGTTCGTATTCGAGGGTGGGTGCTATTACAGTGTTATGTTGTTGATGCGTCTAAACAATAATATGCTGATTCTTGTATTGTAATGTGTGTTTACAGTATCAATGCTATGCACCCCAAGACCAGGAAGATTTTGCAGCTCCTGCGTCTGCGGCAGGTAGGTTTCAAGCTTTCCCTGAAAGTAATAGACAAATATGGGCTTTGATTTCCTTCTCCTTTTTCCCTTGTTTTATGGAATGAGATTTTTCTTTAGAGAGCTGATGTGGGGTAAGATTTTTTGCTCAGATGGAACTTGTTCTTTGGCCTGTTAATGTTAGCACGTACATCTAAAGTCTTTGAGACTTTCCAACCAACATCATTGTGTCTGCTTTGCTTGTTGCAAAAATTTGTGTTTAATTTATCTTGCATTATGTAAACAATTTTTTATTGAAGTTTTATCTGGACCTGATGGTCCTTTGAATTTTGCATTTCACTTGTAGACTGTAAGTTTATTCATGTTTTCCTAGGAATGTGGTTCTTAGCATGATCTGAGGTATTGTTGCAAAGAAACAACGGAACTATTTATTTGCTAATGAATTTTTCTGCTGTACAGATCTTCAATGGTGTCTTTCTTAAAGTGAACAAGGCAACAATGAACATGCTTCACAGGGTTGAGCCTTATGTGACTTACGGGTATTTCCCCTTCTTTCTAGATTCTCTTCCCTCACCCCAACCTCCCAACAAAAGAGCCATTATTGTATTTATCTATCTTTGACCATGCCTTATATGTTATGGTTGCATGTTTTCAGCTATCCTAATCTGAAGAGTGTGAGGGAACTGATTTACAAAAGGGGTTATGGGAAGTTGAACAAGCAGAGAGTTGCTTTGACTGACAACTCAATCATTGAACAGGTTTGTTTCTTTTCCCATTCAAGTATATCAACTTGGTGTCGTACCTAGAGTGTGAATTCTAGTTGATATTAATGTGATTGCAGGCTCTTGGCAAGTACGGCATTGTCTGCATGGAAGATCTCATTCATGAGATTATGACTGTGGGTCCCCATTTCAAGGAAGCAAACAACTTTCTATGGCCATTTAAGCTGAAGGCACCACTTGGTGGTCTTAAGAAGAAGAGGAACCATTATGTTGAAGGAGGTGATGCTGGAAACCGTGAGAATTACATCAATGAGCTCATTAGGAGAATGAACTAGGCTCAGCGGTTTTGTCAAAATAGTGATTTTGAAATTTTTAGTAAGGATTCTGATCTTATTTGCTTTGAATTTTTCCTATGGAACTTCATCAGTCTTTCTACAAAGAGCATTGATACTGTCATGGTTTTGCGAATTTTGTTTTAATCCATAAAATCCTCTTGTCTTAAGGGCCCTGTGTTTTCTAATATTCATCATGGAAAATAGTATCTTGGAATTAAACTTCATATTAGAAAAGTGCATTTTGATAGCACCTCAGGAGCATTATTAATCATATTATTGATGAACACCGGCCGGTACATTTAGGATTCGACCATATCTTATACTGTATGGTCAATGCCTTATGCGGTTAGGTTGATATTTCGTCTTTCTCCTAAGTAAGATTGTAAGTTTATAATTATAATATAATATTAAATAAATAAATGGGTCTACTATCATAGGTTGACCAATTATACAATATTCTGTATAACTTCACATTGTCACGTTACAATAACACTTTTTTATATCAAAAAAGTATTATACACCTGATTTAGATTATAAAACACTAATCATTTAATGAGGGATTAGGCTCTTAATATTTGGAGTCCTCCCTTTATCAGATAATTTTTATTTTACAATTTAGATTAGTTTAAAACATGGTTATGTTTATATATATATATATATAAGGTAGTTGTTTAGTAAAATAAAAGTTTAAATTTTAATATTAATTTTAAGTAAAAAATTTTAAATTAATAAGTATCAATTCGGTGAAATTCTTGTTAAAACAGTATCATGAAGACTTAAAATCTCGAAGTTGCCTGAAAAAGCCAGCATCAATGGCGGAAAACCAGGCACGGGGCCTGCTCTTCCACAAAACGCTCTCCAAAACAAGCCAAGATGCTAAGGGGAAACAAATACATGAAGATTTTTTTCGATTCTACCCTTCTGGATTACGCTTGCTTTGCGCCTCTCCTTCCTGTGTACTTTTCAGGGGCTATTAGCGAGAACGACTATGCTGATTGAAGTTTGACCGTTCGACGCTGGCTATATGCCACGCTAGATTAAGGTTTACTGTTTAATATTAAATTGTTTTTTTGAGACAACTTTTTTTTTTTTAACATATTTACAAGGGACGGTATCGAATTCAGGCCAAGGAAAAGGAGGAGTGTACTTTTTTTTCAATATAACTAATGTCACTAGATTTGAATGTAACTAGATTTGAAGGAGCATATGGTTTTGAGACAATTTTTTGAAATTATTTTTTATTAATTTTTTATATTATTTTTTATATTATTTAAATGATTAGGTTTTTTTATTTATTTATTTGGCATCCATAATATTGAGTATATAATTAATATGTAAAAGTTGTAGAAAAAAATCATATAAAAAATTAACATTATATCACTAATTTTTTTAAGGTTAAATACTAATTTTGGTATCTCGACTTTATAGAGTTGCATTTTTTTGGTTCCTTAATTATTTTTTGCACTTTTTTATACCCTAACTCTAAGAATTGCATAATTTTAGTCATTCCATTAGTTAAATCACACCTGACAGTTAAATATTCTAGAATGGTGCTTTTTTAATGACGTGTCAATTACAACTCATACAATTAACTTAGGTGAATTATACCAAGTCAGACTTAATTGTTTTTTTTTTTTAATTTTTTTTCAATTATTTAAATATAAAATTATTAAAATGCCCTTATGCTCTCTTTGTTCTCCTTGCCATCGCCACTATTTCCAACCATTTTTCCTTTCTTTGTCATTGTTTCTCTTCTCCCCTCCACCTCATCCCCTTCTTGGCCATGATTGGGTTCATGGGGAACCCAAAGACGATCTAGGTTCGTCACAAACCCAGATTTGCTCTAGGTTTGCCGCGAACCCAGTTCTATTTTGGGTTTGTTGCGAACCTGCTTTGAAATGCCTTCTTGTTCTAGTTACCTTTTATGAAATGAAAAAAGAAATTTACTTTTTTGAATGGGGGATACCTTTCTATCTAGAAATTTCTAAGAGAATGTTTTTAGGCTGTCAACTAGGTTCATAGTCTTTCATGTTAAAGATTCATTTCTTTATCGCCATAGATTGTGTAAATTTTTTTGAATATATTTATGTTAAAGTCAAGTTTGAAGCAAGACATTATCTCAAGTAAACGTGATTTGTCATCTTGATGTTTGGAACTTCATATTTTCTTCACAAACCTCTAAACTATGTCATGTGGTTGGTCAAATTTTATTGTTCTTCAAGTTGTCTTCATCTACATTAGCTAAAGGAGTACAACAATATGTAGCTCGAGAATTTGAGAGCTATGTTGCCCCTGGCACATCTCCTCTTACTGGCAAATTCATTTAGGTTTGTTTTCTTACCACTTTTCAAACCTTCAGATTCACCACAATGTTCATTATTAATTCCTTGTTTCTACAAGAAGATGTATGCTAACTCTCTCATTCATGGTGATTCACACATGCTTTTCGCAAAGGATAGAAATAAGGTAAAGTAGACTTATGGAGGAAATAGTGGCATTTCTTTTGAAAGTTTATGTTGCTTTTAATTGTGGAGTACTGAATGAAAGAGGATGAAGGAGGCGAACCCAAATCATCTGAGTTTGCGACGAACCCTTTTGGGTTCATGACGAACCTAGATCGTCTCTGGGTTCCTCATGAACCGAGTCATGGCCAAGAAGAGGGATGAAGGGAGGGGAAAAGAGAAACAGTGACAAAGAGAGGGAAAATGGTTGGAAACGATGACAGTGGCAAGGAGAACAAAGAGAGCATAGAGGAGAATGATGGCAAGAAGAATAAATTAAGGGTATTTTAGTAATTTTATATTTAAAGAATTGAAAAAATTAAAAAAAATAATTAAATCTGATTTGGCATAATCCACCTAAGCTGATTGTATGAATTGCCATTGACATGTCATTAAAAAAGTGCCATTCTAGAATATTTAATTGCTAGGTGTGACTTAAATAACAGAAGCACTAAAATTGTGTAGTTCTTAGAGTTAGGAGATCAAAAAAGTACAAAAAATAATTGAGGGACCAAAAAGTGCAACTCTATAAAGTTCAGGGATCAAAATTAACATTTAACTTTTTTTTAACAAAGATTTACCCGTTTGATTACTTACAAGGAATAGTTAATATTAACCCTAAGGTTAGATTCACTTTCAATAAATGTCGTTTTTAAGCTAGATTTATGATTCAATTTTGGATTTATTTTATTAAATGCATAAGGAATGCATCTTGTAAACTGTCTAGGAGGGATTAATCTTAAGTACACGAAAATTAATTTGGAAATACAATAATTGTAAATACCAAAAATAAAAGGTTGATTTTTTTGTAGTACTGTACTAGCAATTTACAATTTTCTTTCATTGTTGTTATTTGGTATAAATTTAGTATAAATGAATTTCATTAAAAACAAACATGAAATTCATTTGTGATTAACCTCTCTATGAGTTTTGTATGATTAAAAAGTGTCCTCTTTAATTCCATAATCTAAAATTTGTATCTTTATATTTTGAATATATAATAATTTGTAAAATTCAAGAATGTTATGAACTAAAAGATTTTTCAAAAGAGGATAAATTTTTGCATATAATGGAGATACCATGTTAGTATCTCTATTTATTAATGTAATGATATGTCATCATATGCAATTCTACTCATAATTGAAAAGTCATTGTTGGATTTATCAAACCTTGTCAAAAGCATATAATCCAAATTATTTCATATTTTGATTAATTTAGTATCAAATCTTTTTTTCTTATCTTCATTTATCAAAAATGGAAAATGATTGGTACATTTTCCAATTTAATACACTCGTTAATATATTTACTAAGAAATTATTATTTTCAAATTAAATTAAAAGTAAAAAATTTTAAAGATATAGATTTTAGCAGTTATAGATTTTAATGACTTAAGGTTTTTTTTGTCTTCAAAAATAAAATTTTTTAAATAAATGTATTCTAAAATATGTTTAATTAGAAAATATACTAATTATTGTTCATAAAAAATATTGAACATGTAAGTTGCGCTAAAATTAATATCAACTCAAATAAATCTAGCCACAACTCAAGATTGCCAAAACATATTAATTTTATTCTTTTTAAAATTTTGTAATTTTTTTATATCATTACTATTATTTTCACACAACAGGTACAATTTGTTTATTTTAATTTTTTTCAGCAAATGAAGTGTAGGAAATGGTACCTTTTCATTTTCAGCTATGAAAATTTGAAAATTCAAATGAGAAAAAAGAAAAATGATCAAGATAATTTTTTATAAAATTTTTTATATTATTTAATAGTTAATCTTTTTTACTTTATTATAATTTATTAAATTATATACATCAATTCATTTCATAACATATAAAAATTATATAAAAAATTGTAAAAAAATCTATCTACATACCATTAAATAAAAATATACCATGTATAGCAAATGAGTTTAAGCCTCACACTTGTGTCCAAGGGTGGGTCCTACTAGCCCATACAATTGTCTACTCAGCAGACTGTCATATATGGAAGTAAAAGTTGTACTTTCCCTCTATTGTAACGAAATCTCAAGTACATCTAAGTGTGATATATTTACCCTTTCTTCTCCTCATTATCAATCAACCCAACCTCAAGTTCTTCCTCCCTCACCCAAACAATAACTCTCTCTTTATGTAATCTCTTTTTCAATTTCTTCTCTTATTTTTCTTTTAATCAACAAATACTATTGCTTTTATCTTCTTCTTCAATCCTTATTTTATTTTTTTTTCTCATTTTGGTTTTTGTTTTATGTGCTCTAAGGTGCTGTTTGATAAAAAAATGAATCATTCAATAGAAGTCATAACCGACTTTGGAGGTAAGATCTTGATGCACTTTGCATTTTCATTAATCTTTGTTTTTTCATCATCATGCTTCATAGACAAATCTAGTAGATTTATTATTATTTGATGAACAAGGTAAAAATTAAGGTTCTTTGGTATACATCTTGGCAAGGTTTAGACCAATTTTATGAGTGAGACAAAAAATTTATGAGTAGTAAGTACATTAATTTGATAATGATGAGTTGATGAATTTTTTAAAGATATGTTTAATTAATCCCTATAAAGACCATTATGTTAGTTATGTAAGGTGAATTATCAGATCTATAAAGATTTAAAGGCATAATTTTGTTTAACTTTAGTTGAAATTTATTAATAATATCTCAAGTATGACTAGATATATTAAGACTCAATTATTGATTTTTTTTAAAAAAAAATTGATGGAAGATCTATTGGTTTAATAATGTTTAATTAGTATGTAGTTTCATCTTGTTTACATTATAGATGGAATATCGTTATATGCTGTTCAAACTAAGACTCAAATGAACTTGTAAATTAAATTTAAAGAAAAAAATTAGATTGCATTTAATAGATTTTATATAGATCACACATATTTAGATATTTCAACAAGTCGTGAGATATGTTTTAACTATGAATGTGTGATGTAACATGTGTGATTTAAGATATATTACGAATGTATGACGTAAGGTATGTGACGACATCTTTAAGATATGCTAATATTTACTCCTCAAAGTTTTGTGTAAAATCCTATATTTTCAAAATTTTAACTTATTTGAATTGTATTGTATGGTGTGTGTATTGAACTAGTTATATAAATGATCGGCAAAAATAAAGTAAAATTAATTTCTGTATTATTGATTTGGAGTTATCAAAATATTAAGTTATACGAAAAGGATATATAGCTACAAAATTAACTACAAACCATTAATCTTAGTGTTCTAATTTGTTCCTTCTACATTTGGATGCTATGAAATCATACTCATACCCTTGACAGTGTTTGAATTGTTTAGTGAAAAAGGAATTTCATTGCTATTAAGTGTTGTTGAGTGTTTCTTAATTACATTCTATAAACATTTTAAACTTTTTTTTCCCTTCATTTCATCATGTAATATTTATTTTCATAATATGTTGCTTGAGTGTTGTAGTGTATTCAGAGGAACAAAAAGACTTCAAAGACACGAGTTCAAATTCTTTGAAAGATACTGCTAGATCAAAATTAAGATGCATTCCAGATTCTTCACGATTGTTGACTAACAATCTTAATGACAAGGATAAAGATGAAATAGGGCAACAACTTGTCATTGATCTTGGAGCAATAGCAAACAATGATCTTGATGTAAGTTCACTAGTTAGTTAAGATAAATAGTAGAATGTAGTTACATCTCATAATTCTGGTATCCTTTTAGGAGCACAAAAGGGAGATGGTTGCCGAGGCAAGAAGATGGATTGGTCTTTTGGTATATAAAGAGATTAGTGGCAAGGGCTACATAGGCAAAGTTCAAGATTATGATGAGGGCACTGAACTCTACAAGGTTAGTACATTTGAAATCAAAACATATTTTGGTATTTTGGTCACACATACACTTACATTTTAAATTGAATAATTCTTGACATGACCATAATTAGATGATATATATAGGCATTATTTCTTATTTAATTTAAAAGATATTTTGCTTTTACAGATAGTGTATGAGGAGGTTACTGGCTATGACGAGCTATTGCCTAAGCAGGAAATGCTAGGAATTATAGCTCCTCCGCATGTGGTTCGTGAATATCTCGACTATGAAGAGGCGAAGTATGTGACTAAGGCAATTGACTCTTATAGGCATCTACAACATATATGGCAACTATCACACTCTTATTATGAAGCTAGATATTATTTGGTCACTTTGTCATGGAACAATGCATCATGAACAAAAATTTTATTTGTATTATAAAAGTGAAATCCTTTATTTAGTTTGTAAATGTTTTGAAATTTTTCTAGGGAGAAAAACAAGCAGCAAAAGAGAAAAGCATTGAGGGCAAATGCCTCCACAAACAACATGGAGCATGAAAAGCTTACTGGCCATGATGATGAATTGATTGAGCAAGAAATGATGCAAATTGTTTCCCCATCTCCCTTAGTTCGTGGCCAAGAGGCTAAGTATGTGATTAATTCAATTAGCTCTTATTATATATTGCAACCATTATACATTCATTATGAAGTTGGATCTTATTGGGTCATTTTTTCATGAAACAAATGCTTCATGAACAAACATGTTATTTATATTACAAAGTGAATTATTTTATTTAATTTGTAAATGTTTTGAAATTTTGTAGGGACAATGACAAGAAGGAAAAGAGGAGAGCATTAAGGGCAAGGGCCGCAAATATGGAAATACCGAGGATGAAAAAGCCTTATCGAAAACGTACAACTAAGAAAGCAAAGGTTAATGACTATGTTCCTCTTGCATTTCGTGAGAAGAAGAGAGATGCTTATTATTGGTATTGAGATGATATATGTTGGCAGCTTGGGGAGCATGGTGAGGTTGAATATATAATGGTACTCAAGAGGTTCTAGGAGGAAGAGAGATGAACTTTTAAAGTCTTCCTCTCTTCAAAGACTCAACAACCATAAAACCAAACTTGTGAACTATTAGAATAATAATGTTTGTGGTGATTTCTGTGATATCCATTTTACGTGATGTTTTTGTATTTCTTGGTTATTGACTGCCTCTTATGTTTTTAAGAATTATTTCTATTTGGGTTTAGCATTATTGGCTTATACATTGAGTAATGTGTTATGTTTAAGTTCTACGAGAATAATTTATCAATAACATTATTAACAACCAAATCTTACATGATATTTATTATTTTATTAGTTTTTTTTTTTTTACTTGGGTGAGACATATAAATCAATATGCATTTATCCTTTTGATATCATATGACTTTATGTGATAATTTTGAAATAAATTTTTGTTTATATATCATTCTTCAATCTCTTAATAGTAAATTATTTGAATTGATCATCTTGGTCTAGTGTTTCACCTTAAAACCATTAGTTCTATTTCACCTAGAATTAGAGAAAAAAAAAAAAAAAAAAAAAAAAACCCCCCTCACCCAAAACTCCAAAAAATCTCTCTCTCTCTCTTATTATTTTTTTCTTTTTTATGAGATCTTTCATCTCTTAATAATGAATTTTTTTTTCTTTTAAATATGAAGCATGTACACATCTTATAGATTAAATAAGGACAAGAAAATCAGAATAATAATATGGACAAAAACCAAAGAAAGCTAGATTAATTGCCCGTTTAGTGTGGCTGGAGCTTTTAATATAAGTTATGTTGGAAAGAAACTGTTATAGAAGTGTTGTTTTTCTAAATAAAAAGAAAAATAATGATAAAATAAAAATAATGTGTTAATTCATTAAAACCCAAATGAGAAACTCGCATAGAAACACCAATTTGGTATTCATGAAATTTGCAATGAAATGGATAAAATACTAATTTATGAGAAATTTTAACATTTTTTACAAATTATAGAGTTTGGTGCAGTTGAAACTTTTAAAATTCAAAACACCGCCCACCAATTGTACCAAACATAACCTAAAATAGTTTCATAACACTTCTAAATTAGGGGCTGGGTGTACAAGACAGGAGTAAACTGAATTTCATGTCATTCAAGTATCATGTCTCTAAATTTGTCATGTCAGCTTGCAAACATCCTCCCTCCGTTTTCATTATCTCACTTTTAAAAGTGAGGTACCTTTACCCTTTTACATGTTATAGGATTAAATTACGAGTATAAAGTTTTATATTTTATATTGTATTAAATTATAAAATATTAATTATAAAATAAATATATTTTTTTAATATTAGGAAATTTTTTTAATTAAATAATTAATTTTTATAATTTAGATTAAAAAATATTTTTTTGTTTTGTAAATTGTTGTCTTTAATTTTAATGATATTTTTATTTTTTTCACATAGAAAA